ATTACCCACAACCATACAACAACGTGAGTACTAGGCTATCTTGAAATCTCTCCTGTTAAATAACTTAATCCAAAAGTCTTCAATTTAACCCCTGACAGACTTTTAAGAGAAAGGGCAGAAAACAGTCAAATGCTCTACCAAAATATCACAATGGTTTCTAGCCCAGTAGTTAATATTGTTCCCATCTGAAACTTCTTGAGCTGGGCTTCCATCTTTCACATTGCTCTCAGCATTACTGTCTTCCAAGCTCCTACATAGATGGCCCATTAAGCACTGCTTATGGCATTCAACTGATTTTCAAGACTGTCTTAGTTAGGATTTGTATTGCTGTGAAGAGACATCATGACCAAGGCAACTCTTATAAGGACAGCATTTAATTGGGGCTGGCTTACAGGTTCAGAGGTTCAGTTCATTATCATCAAGGTGGGAGCATGGCAGCATCCAATCAGGCATGGTGCAGGAGGAGCTGAGAGTTCTACATCTTCTTCGGAAGGCCACTAGAAGTAGACTGGCTTTCAGGCAGCTAGGAGGAGGGTCTTAAAGTCCATGCCCACAATGACACGCTTTCTCCACCAAGGCCACACCTCCTAATAGTGCCACTCCTGGGCCAAACATATTTAAACCACCACAAAGTCCAAACTTTCAAAGTCTTCAGCATTCCAAAAACAGAATGTGGTCAGTTCTGTCAGGCAGTTGTTTCCTGGTTCTCACTTTCCTCTTCCTGCTATGCCGGTCTAGTCATTGTCACTCTGGATGTAAGGATGAGCCATGTCTAAGACTTCCAGCCCAGGGCAAGAATTACACAGCATGGCTGGCCATGCCCAGGGATATTTGCTGCTTGACAAAAGTTGCTACTGACCTTTGTATGAAAAAGAAAGCTGGGCTTCTGAGGGCCATGTTAGAAGGCCAGGACCTCCAAAGGTAGGGTACCAGGACAACAGGCTGAGTAAGTTTGCAGTTCTCGGTTTCTCCAAGTGACTACCATGAGGCAGAGTCTGGGGATAGGTGAGATGCCAATGAACCACAGCCTGGGCCTGTCCTACCACACCAAATAATAGAGGAGATAATACCTATCATATGTTACCAAATAAAACCACCAGTACCATGAATGGATTACAGCATTTGAATTGGTGGCTAAAGGGGTCTCACAGATACCTGAAACATAGCTGGTTATTGTCAAAACTATTGGTTACCCTCCACAACCTGATGATAAGACCCTGTTGATGAAGACACAAAATACTTATGTCACAGAACATTGAGAAATCAACCAGAAGTTTCACCTCTACTGACTGCCATTCGCAGTGATGGAAGGTACTATACATGCTGCTGGTGGAGATAATTACTTATCTCACCCACATATCTTACCCTGCAAGCTACAACAGTGACATGCCACTCTGGTGGGGATCCCACCAGAGATAACCACTCAGACATAGTTTACAGCCAACTGCAAGAATTTATCCAAACAGCTGAGACTATACTCAGGTATACAGAACCTAAGTGTATCCCCAAGTATTTAGAGCAAGGGGCTTTTAAAGACCAAAACCATGTTTTGGTACCTTATTCTGCTGTTTCAGGTGGAGGTTTTGTGTAAGCAAGCAATTTAACAGAAGCTAAGGTAAGTAGTTAGCTGGAGATGGAAATTTGTAGAAATAGGCATTTTAATAGAGGCTAAGTTAACTGGGACAGCTTGACTGTGGGTTATTTGAATAGAGAAGGGCAATTTTACATAAAATTCTCCATCAAGGAGATAAAATTCCAGTTACACCTGAAGTTGCCTCAGCAAGAGGAAAAGGTGAAGGAACCTATGCACTGTCTTTCCCTCTCATGCCTGCAGGATATGTCCACTAGTGTAACAGTAGCATGAATGTTGTGGGTATAACCAATCAGGCTCACTCTATGGGATGGAACAAATACTTGACATCGTTACTGAGACCAAGAACTAGATAGGACATGAACCCTAGGGAAAAACTTGTGGGACCATAATGGCCCAGGCCTATGGAAGAAGGGGTGGAGGAAGCTTCAATCCTGAATTCCTCAAATATGAGGACAGCAGGAGTTGGCTCCCTCCCCACTACAAACCTGGCTCCAAAAAGCCAGCTGCCTCACCATCAAGCCTAGCATGAATTTATTACCCTGACAGTTAGTGGGCTTCACTCCTTGTTTGACCTTATAAGGTTTTTTTCTCTTTGACCTTACAGCCCCTGAGTATGTAGATAAAGCATCTTCTAATACCCATGTCCTGACAAATGGACAGGGCCACACAAACCTTGCCTGAGAGACCCTGGCCATCTTCCCAGGGGCATAAATACCATTTTCACACACACCCCAATAAACAAACCAGTTCCCCAAAGCTGTTCCCAGGTGTGTTGTTGTTGTTGTTGTTGTCGTCGTCGTTTTTGCCTGTGCACTCATTGCTGATGGAGATTCTGTACTTCACCACCTGTACTGGATTAAGGTTCCCTCTCTCCACACCAGTTTGGTGTATAATAAGCCAGGCTACCCAGGGCAGGGAGTGGAGTAGTAGTCACTGGGCAGCAAAAACTAACTACTGTTATTCTGCTAAGTGAACATAAAACAGATCTTAAAGATACATTGCTGTACCTACATATCAGTGTATTACTCAACCCTCACCAGAGGAACATCTTCTCACAGGCAATTAACACAGAGTCTTGCAGCTGGACAATATGAAAAGTGAAAGACATTGGAGCAGCACTTAGCCCTAAATGAAATGTCTTAATCACATTCCTCCTGTCAAGAAATCAATGTGGAAGAAGACTATAAAAGCCAGAGATTATGGATGACCTCAAGGGAAAAAATATTTAGACATAAATGAATGGCTGCATGTTTGAACTTACAGAGATTGTGACACCATGCATGAGACCTGCACAAACTCAAGCCATACAAAATCTCAGCATGGAAAAGCAGAAGTGGGCCCAGAGTGCTACCTCTATGTAATTGATAGCTACTAGAAGAAGAAAAATCAGTTTTATTCAGTGGAGTGACAAGGGGTATATCAACCACACTCTAGGGCAAGCCTCGTGCTCAGAGTAGTTAACCAATACAAAGTGAACTCCATGAGTCTTGTTTTGTTTTGTTCCTTTTTAGAGAGAGAGGGAGGAAGAAAGAGAGATGGGGAGAGACAGAGACAGAGATGATATTGGATGTGTAAGGGTCTTGAGGAAGTTGAGGGAGGGGAAAAGAAAACAGTCCCTGGTACTGTGCAGAAGCTGTCTTTACACCATGCAAAAGCTATGTCTCTGCACTATACCAGGAGACTCTAGAGTAGGAAAACCTCACTGCTTATCCACAAATCTCCAGTTCTGGGTTCATACTTCCTCTGATTCTGATCATTCTTGTTATCTTTAGCTGGACCGTGATAACAGGGTTTAGTCCATTAGCAGAACTTCTAGGCACCCCAGTTCTCTGCGTATGACTTTACTAATGGCTTGAGTGTGGTGGTTTGAATGACAGTAGTCCCCATTTGTATAAATATGTGGTTTGTGAAACTTTAGGAAGAATTAAGAGATGTGGCCTTGTTGGAGTAGGTGCATCCCTGTGGGGTAGGTTAAGGGTTTTAAAGACTTGTGTCATTATCTGTGTTCATTCTCTACCTCCTACCTGAGAGTCAAGATGTGAGTTCTCAGCCATTTCTGTTGTCATATCTTTGTTCTACCATCACAGATTCTAATTCTCTAAAGCTGTGAGACAAATTGAATGCTTTCCTTTATAAGCTGCCTTAGTCATGCTGTTTTATTACAGCAATAGAAAAAGTAACTAAGATACTGAGTAACTGTAGGAACAGAAATAACATTGGTTTATGTATATTCTTTGCTTAATTTTCTTCTCTGTGGCCACACATGGTGATACATGCCTGTGACACAATCCTCAGGAGACTAAGATAGAAGACTACTGAGATCTGGGCTAGCAAGAGTTACAAAGTGAAACACTCTGTGGTTCAACCAATAAGAATTCTCTTTGCATTTCTGCAAGTTCAATAAAGGGCGCATCATATATGTTACTGCCGTGTGTCATGGCTTCCATGCCTCTTTCTCCTCAATATGGATGATCAAATGAAGTAACAAAAAAAAAAAAACTAAGCAAATAATATTTATAACTACGTAATATATGTGCACATACATTGTCTACATCACTTGAAATTTTTATGTATAAATATGTATATGTACATGTGTAAGATGTATGCATATAAAAATGTGTTCCTTTACTGAACAGTTCTGTCTTCCTTTGTTTTGTTCCTTTGGTTTCCTTCTCTTTTTTTCTTTTTTTAACCTCATCCTGGAGGCTGTCTCTTCATTTCTTCATGATGTATTCACCTGTTTATACGAAGAAAGATACTGACTTTCCTAATGAGAGTTAGTTACCATCTGCTGGAAACTCCAGGACCCTGCTAGCATCACATTAGTGTTTCTCCTTTGTTTCTGAGTGCACTAGCACACCCTAGCTCTCCAGAAAACTTGGATATAGTTGTTACTTCACTCATTTCCAAATGAAGATCTGGAGACTCCAAGAGATCCCATTCAAGATCCAATTGCAGGGAAAGGTTGAAGCTAAAACAGAATTTAAATCCCTGATTCCTCCATTCGAAATTCCAAACTTTCCATTTCTCAGCTGCTGATTCCCACCTTACATTCACATTATAACTACGTGGAACTTTAAACTCTTATAGTCTCCACTCTAGAACACTGAAACTGGCATCGGTTGCAACTACATACTTAGCAATATTCTCTACTAATACTGAGGTGTCCTGCTCAAGAGCATTGGTACCCAGTATCCCAAGCCACTATCCAGAGGTACTAAGTACAATCCCACAAAGTCACATGCTCAACTTCTGGATTTTCTGTGCCATAGAATATACACCTATAACTCTGACTGTCCATCTTCTACATTTCATTTTTAGGCCCAGACTTCTGCATCAGATAAGCATTTGCCAGTCCAAGCCAACCCATGTTGTAATTTCCTTATCTTCTTTTTCCTATTCATAGGTACCAAGAAACGTTCTCACGGCTCACCTGCTCCAAGCACTAGTTCCACAAGTCGTGTTACCTTGCCAGGTAAGTAAATGGCATTGCCCTATTATCTCAATGACCACAGGCAACAGAAAGCACTAGTGTTTCAAGAGCTAGGAGCCACAGATATAGAGGAACCTCTGTTCAAGTCCACCTTATCAGGGAACATTGTGTCTGTCATCTTCCCTTGTGAGTTTCTTCCAGATGTGACCATGCTGTTTCCCAGACAATCTTCCACTCAGCAGTAGACAGAGTGGAACTGTGCTTGTGTGTGTGTGTGTGTGTGTGTGTGTGAAGTATCTACTTTGAGAGTCAGGTAGTGTAGAGAAAATGAATGGGCAGAGAGAGAGATAAGAGATAGAGATAGGTAGAGAGATAGAGATGAAGATGGAGCTAGAGATATGAGAGAGAGAGAGAGAGAGAGAGAGAGAGAGAGAGAGAGAGAGAGGGGCATGGATAGAGATAGACAGACAGACAGACAGACAGACAGACAGACACAGAGACAGATAGATGATAGATGGATGGATAGATGGATGGATGGACGGATGGACGGACGGACGGACGGACGGACGGACGGACAGACAGACAGACAGACAGACAGACAGACAGATAGATAGATAGATAGATAGATAGATAGATAGATAGATATTAATTTTCCAACTTCATCTGTGCCCCTTTGTCTTGGAACTTTACTTTTCTCACCCACCTCATCTCTCTAAGGAATTAGGACTGACAGCTCTAACCTTAGTATTCCCTGACACAGTGTCATAGCTAATGTCAGGCACAGTTAAGTTCGACTATTACAAATATAAAAGTCAATATGTGATCCAGTTCCCTTCTAGAATCTCTTAGGAAAATAGTCAATATATTTGTCAAAATATTTGTATGTACAAGGGAAGACACATGTCTACTGCTCTCCCTGGATAGTCCCTGTAGACAGTAGCTTGGCATGTGTAGCCTCACACCCCCTATTACAAGTTTAACGATAGTGGGATTTGTTCTGAGAAAGAGAAGCTATAAAAGGTAAACATGATCATTGTAAGCTTTTGTATAATAATAAGAAAGACTATAGGAAGAAAAATGCTGTTTATTGCTAATGTTACCCATTAACTAAGGTCCCCTGTCTTTCTAGGTATTATTACACATCTTTTCTTGAATTAAATCTCTGTCTTATGTAGAATTTTGTTTTCTCCCTTTTGAAATGTCTTCTACATGTTGGTAAATTAACCACTATCTTGGTAATTGGCTAATGTGTATATGATTATGTCAGTTTACTTATATATGCAATAATAACTTTTATTATTATACTTATGTCATATTCTTGTCTATAAATATTTGGGGTCTAAATATGGAGTGAGGGGTATTCCTGAGTTAGAAATTCTGGCTTAAGGATGTATAGATACTTAGATTTTTGTCAAGATTCCTCTTAGTGATATTAATTCATCTCTTATTATAATTAATGTATTAATGTGCACATTTTTCTATCTTTTGTCAATGCTGAATGTTATGTTTTATAATTAATTACTTTGATGGGAAAATGACATCTCATCCATGTTTTATTTGCCTTATTTTCCTTACCTTTATCTTCTTTACAAATACCTGTTTACTAATGTGAAATTATCTTTTAGATTTCTGCCTTGGGAAATGACTGTATTTCAACCATTGTGAGAAGCATATTATCTTGTATTTTAAGCACTCTGAAATTAGGCTGGCTTGTAATCCGTGCTGTGTAATAATTTCATTAACATTTTTTTCTTGCTTGTAGGTGAAATAATAGCTCACTTCACAATCAGTAGTATTCTTGACAGATGAACCATAATCCATATTGACCTGCTGTTTCACTTTATGCTCTGTAGCTCTGCGCACAGGCCTGACCTGTGGATTCCAGTATTGTTTGCTAAGCAGCCTTGAGTTTTCTTGCTTCTGTGACTTCTTGAAACTAGTTTCCCTTGGCTTATTTCTCTTTGCAGCTTTATCCAAACCATCTGGGTAAAATTAATATTACATAGCAGTGATTTTCTTTAAGGAGCTTTTACCTATTGATAGTTAGCTTTTTCTACAGTGAAGTCCTTCTTTCTACTTTCTGACTCCAAACTGCCAAGGTGATAAGCAAGTGTCCATCAGTATCCACAAAGCTTCTGTGAGTGAGTGAGTGAGTGAGTGAGCGAGCATGCTCAGGATTTGTGGTTCCTTAGAGAGGACCCATACTCAGTGCCTAGAAGTTATCTTATCATGTGCTTGCTGCAGCTATTGTGCACGTCAGCATCCAAGCATCAGGAGGAAGCTAACTTCACACCAGCAATGCCAGTGGAAAGTGAACATGTCTGCATATTGGAAAAGTATCTCATTCTTGATCCAGGGAGAATCTCAGAGGTCATCCTGGCCATCTACAAGAACATGCAGACCTGATGTTGTCCCACTTGCTGTGCTGAATAATTAAAATATAATGTATAGTATTCTTATGAACAATATTCTTTTGGGTCCTGTCCCACTTCCATGTGTTGGAGTGTAATCTACAATAGGACAGTGGGAAGTGTGTAAAACTATCTTTTATTCCTCTGATGTTATTGTCACCTCAGAGGTTTACTGTCTCCATCTGGTGACCTAGGCCTAGTCCTGGAAGCTCTAGCTTTCATACAATCTAATCTAGGCCTAGAATGTTTTCAGTCTCTGAGACTTGCTGCTGAATAACACCACCCGTTCCTGATTCTTTCTGTTCTTTGACTGGCTGATTCAACTCAGCTGTTCTGGCTCCACGCTGACTGACCCAATCTATCTTCTCTTTCAGCCTCTGAATTTTTGTTCTGCTTGGCCTCATACTAACTCTAGTAATCTTTTCTAATCTTCTGGCTTCCTCTCATTCTCTGATTGGTTCTGTCTTCACCTGTGTCTAGTTTGTTCTCTCTCTGCAACCTATCTCTGTAAAACTTTCCCAGGAAAACTGTCTCCTCTCCTTTCTTTCCCTGCATTCTTCTGTCTTAAGTAGCCTCTCTTTTCTCTCTCTTCTAGTGAAAACTTGTCTGTCAATCTTATGTCTCTCTTCTAGTGGGCGTATCCTATTCTGTCAAATCTTCCTCTGATTCTCCACTTTGTGTGCCTCTCAATTAGGCATCCCTTTCCAACATGGATGCTATCTTCTACAAACTAACTTTTCCTGTGTTGTTTGTGATTAAAAGTGTGTACTATGGGAGTGTCTGTATCCCAGCCAGAGGAATTAAAGGTGTGTGCTAAGGCTGAGCCATACCATAACTAGAAACAGGTTTGTTTTGTTTTGTTTTGTTTTGTTTTCCCAGTAATCAGCACAATCTCATGGTTCACAGTGTGATCAAACATCCTGCAACAAAAATGTTAGGTCACACCTACATGGGTGGGCTAGTGGCTTTGAAGCCATCAAGTGAGAATGTAACAAGAAGTTTCAGTCCAAACTTAAGGCAATGGGCTTTTACCTGGAACTCAGATCTTATAAGTCACGGCTTATACTCATGAAAAATAAGGTTTTTTCCTTGATAAACTGCCCAGGAGTCACTGTGACACAGTAACCTAAGATGGAACAGACATCCAAATGAAAAATTGGTCAAGCAGGAAGTTAGTAAACATAGAAAAGAAAGGAAACAGTTAAGAATGCAGAATGACAACTTCAACACAAACCTGAGCAGCCAAAAAGCCACCAGATGTAAATAGTTAGCAGTCCTTGATTAATTTTCTTCCAGTTAAATTGGCTTTTCAACTGCAGCAATGATCTGATTGGATCAGATCCATCCCACTTTTACATTTGTATATCAGTATACATTGGTACTAGCGTCATTACGTATGGCAAAGGAAGTTCCATTCGAATACAGAGCTGGTTTTTTTTGGAGACCATCTATATATATAACTTTATTGTGCAAGTATGACATGTGCTATTTAATCATCTTTCTGTTGTAGTTATTTTCTATTCTTGTTGCTACAAGACTGTTTATAGTGTGTTATATGATGTTCATCAAGAAAAACAAGTCACTAAAAGGTAATAATCCCTAGAATGATTTGTCTTATTTCAAACCATGCAGAAATATTATTTTATGACTATAAACATAACACCATGCACATATGCGCAGGAATAAACAAATTCTAGGTGATGGCTTTGGAGAGTTAAACGGAAGTAATGAAGAAGAAATACTAAGTCCTACCTGTGTCTAATCTCTTGTGTGGATAAAGTTAATGTTGGGTGTCTTCCTTTATCTTTTTCCACTTTACTTTTTGAGATAGGCTTTCTCACTGAACTTGGAACTTACTAACTGAGCTAGGAAGATTGACCACTAGACATCCCTTGGGAGGCCTCCCTAGCACTAGGTGTACAGGAATAAACCACCACGTGTGTTTTCACATTGATGCTAGCGGTCTGAACTCGGGTCCTAGGCTTGGGCAACGAGCACTTTACCCACTGAGCACATTCCCAGATCCTATTTCATCTCTTAAAAAAATGTTTGAAACATTGAGATCATTAAGCTGTATGCAGAAGATAGGTATTTATTTTGCTGTCTTGATTTTGTTATACTTTTCCATGTGTTTATAAAAAATGACTTTATGTAAAACTATGGCTTTTTTGCAAAAACTATCATGTTTACTTTCATTCCTGTTGCTAGTTTAACATGTGCTCTAAGAGCTTCGACATTTTTCTTTTCAAATCCATGGACATTGTTGATCTATGAGGAGTTGAGTCTTTAAAAGCTCTAGACATTATTTGTCAGAAGGCTGCAACGGTCATTTAATTAAAGGACTGTACAGTTCTGGAGTTACCTAACAGGAGCATCTTTCAGCTTCAGCTCAAGAAAGCTGCTTGGGTTCATCATCTGGAACCTTTGCACATCTAAATAGGAGTGGCACTTGCATTGAAAAGATTAGCACATGCAGATAGTTTTCCCCTAGGACCTGCTTTATTTGTTGTTGCCATCCAATGGGATTTTAAATGGAGATTTCATGGAGTTTGGGGGTAGGGGATATCCATGGTGTCAAACTGAGGAACTGTTGTCTCTTGCCTGAAGAATGGCTCAGAGTTTTACAACTAC